CCACCGAGTACTCCCAAGGGCCCTGCCATGAGAACCAGGTCTGTGGGTATCCCTGCATGAGGTGTTTCACCACTGATCTGGGATGCCCGAGAGAGGATTTGGGGTGAATGGGTGGGAAAGGTGCAGGGACAGGGACAGCTTTTGGTTTCAGGGTGTGACCAAGAGCAGAACATGGGCAGCAGAGGATGCCGGGGTGCGCGGGGACGCCGCACGGGTTATAGGCTAGATAATAGTGATGCAAAAGGGGGTTAAATAATTTAGGAGGGAGACAGGGGGCCCGGGAGCCCTGGGGTGATGGGGCAGGGTGAGTGCCATGGGCACGGCACCATTTCAGACCTGGGCAGACTGGCAGCATCTGTGGGATAACTCATTGCATTGCTCCTGCAGAGCTGCATCGTGACGCACGAGTCCAATGGGATCGATATCATCACGGCCCTCATCCTGAACGACATCAGCCCCCTCTGCAAGTACCGCATGGACCTGGTCCTGCAGCTGAAGGTAGGCAGAGCCTCGGGGCACGTGTGTGTGTATCCCTGCATGGGCAGCAGCAGGGCACCCCTCAGCAAGGGCTTCTCCTCGGCAGGACAATGCCTCCAAGCTCCTCCTGGTTTGAGAATGCTGAGCGGATCCTCATCAGCCTCCGCCCGCAGGAACTGGTAAGGGCTGACACTGAAACACCCCCAGGCTGCCCACCCATTGCTGGAGCTCTTCTTCCTGCAGGTCCTGGTGCAGTTTCTGCTTTGCAGCCATGAACCATCTCCTCTGCCATACTGCTGGTCACTGCCACCTGCACAAGCATCCCTGCCTAGTGGTTTTCCCAGAACCATTTGGTGCCAGGGGAGGAAGATGAGGCAAGCTCTTTGTCCCTGTGCTGCCTTCCAGGTCGACGTGATTAAGAAGGCCTATCTGCAGGAGGAGGAGTGTGAGAACGCCGAGGTTTCCCCCCGGGAAGTTGGCCACAACATTTATATCCTGGCGCTGCAGGTACGGAGCTGTGGCAGCAGGGTCCCCGCCAGGCAGGGCTGCCCGTGCTGAGCTGGGCTCCCACTCACTGACAGCACATGTTTCTCTGTGTTCATTGACACCTCCTCTGGTCAGGCTGGTTCCCTGGGGAGCCGTGGCTGGGAAATGAGCTTTGGCTCCTATGGAAGCCCTGGGCTCGCTGGCTGCCTGCTTCCCTGTGCACCCCATGTCCCGTGTCCGTGTTCATGGCCAGCGCCTGCTCACCCAGCTATTGCTGTCCCTCTTCCAGCTATCCCGGCACAACAAGTCTCTGCAGCAGCTCCTGAAGCCGGTGAAGCGAATCCAGGAGGAAGAGGAGGAGGGCATCTCATCCATGGTATGGAAAAGCCTTGGAAACGGTGGCAGAGCCCCTCTGAGCTACCCTGACCAGAGACTGCAAAGAGTCTCCCACCGCTGCTGAGCCACCCTGGGTTGTGTTGGTTAAGATCTGATGGATTTTGGCATTCCCCAGTGGTTCTAAAGACACACAAACTTACCAGTGCCCTTGTAGCTGAATTTACAAGTCTAAAGGCAGTGCACTAAGCCCTGTCTATGGTGCTCAGCCGTAGGGTGACATCCACCTCACTGGTGGCACTGGTGGGGTCCTGCTGGTACCCACTTTCTCCCCTTCCCTTTGGAAAAGGAAGGGCTGAGTCCTTTGCTGTCGTTTCCTGCCTATCTACCTTAGATCCCAAATGAGACTCAGCAGTAATATGATTTCCCGGGGGTTTTATGGGCATTGGGTTGTAATTTGTGGATTAGCAGCGTTTGGATGTAATTATTGCAGGAAATTGAATGTCTGTCACCTCAGGGAGGGCTCGTGCCCCTTTAGAGAAGCTTTAATTCATTTGCTTTCCTCTGAAACCTCGTCAGCTTTGGTAGGTTTTGAGGAACGCTGCTGTCAGAGCAGAGCTGGACCTGGCTCCTCGGCTGAGGCCACGCTCATCCTCTCTCCCTCTCCCACATCCCAGCTCAGCCTAAATAACAAGCAACTGACGCAGATGCTGAAGTCGTCGGCCCCGGTGCAGGAGGAAGAGGAGGATCCACTGGCATATTACGAGAAACACACATCCCAGATTGAGGCAAGGCCCGTTCACTGTTGGGTTATGGATGTGCACGTGGCTGGTGAGCCCCACGTGTGCTCCGGCTGCCTTGTGCCAGTTATTTTGCACTGGGAGCTCTCCCGTCCCTGTGCCAGCGAAGCAGCAGACGGGTCTTTTTGCTCTGCAGAGAGCTGAAGGCAGAGCCTGTGAGGAGCTGAGGGAACAAGCTGTCCCCTGGAGCCTTCCTTTTTCCCCCAGCAGCAGTGGGATGCAGCCAACCCGGCAGCCCCATCCTTGCGTGTTGGCGTGGATCTCCTCACAGATGGGCCAGGAAGGGTTCACGGCGTCTCAGCTTCCCTCCAGCACAGCCAGGGCTGCCTCTGCTGGGTCCATTTGTAGCATTATAGATGGGTGGCTGGTGGCGTTTGGATCCTGGTGCAGTGGGAGGGAGGAGGGAAGGCACAGCAGGGTCTAGGAGAGAGGAAACTGAAGCCTGGCAGGGGCAGGATCTGACGCAGCCTCCCCTCACCCTGCTTCCTGCAGATTGTGCGTCTGGACCGAAGCATGGAGCAGATAATCTTCCCGGTGCCTGGCATCTGCGAGTTCCTCACCAAGGAGACCAAGTACCGGCTCTTCACCACCACGGAGCAGGACGAGCAGGGCAGCAAAGTCAGTGATTTCTTCGACCAGTCGTCCTTCCTGCACAACGAGATGGAATGGCAGAAGAAACTGCGCAGTAAGAGCAAAGCAGACCTTGCCCTGGGGCTCCCCAGCCAGCGCGGCCCTTCAGTAGCCCCTGCCATGGAACCAGGAGGCAGCCCTTGCTTTGGAAGGGCTGAAAAACCTGGAAATCACACCTCGGAGCTCCCTGTGCTTTGTGGAGCACAACACACATGGCACTTTGCAGGGAGTGGAGGTTAACGCAGATCCTAGGGATGGATTTCCTCCGTGCCTGTTCGTGCAATTCTTTGGTAGTGTGAAATGCATCTTACAGCACATTCCCTGGGATTTTTCCCCTGGAAAGCCCTCTCTTCATTTGTGTTCAGTTGCCTTCTCCTAAGCCAGGATCTAGTAGCTACATATGGGAAATAAGCCCTGTTTTTCTGCACCCTGCAGACCTGGTTAGGTGCTTTAGGGCTGCATGAGGACGGAAATCCTGGATTAAACTAACAGGAGCTCAATAAAGAGTCACACTATAAATACTGTGATGCAGCTGAGGAGGAGCGTAGCAGCTCTGAAAACACTTGCAGGTCCAGTCAAAACTATCTTAGGAATTC